TAAACATTGGGGAACAGGACAAAATTCACAGTGCGATGTGGATGTGTGTCCTCCCTTTTGTCCAAAGCAGTGATTGAGGGCAAACCAGAAAACTGTAGGATTTCAATATGAATGAGGGGCACCTGTGGCTGTGGGGACACTGAGACAATGAGGGACAGTCGAAAAGACTACTGCTCAGCAACATCCAGAGTAATTTCCTCAAAATCATTCAGTAGTCTCCCATTCCACTTTGGGCCAAGCAGTACAAGTGGAAAAGTGGTTAGAAATGATCAACGAGCAAGGAATGCCAAAGAAGTTGAATAGCCTGGAAAGAAACTGGGAAGTCTCCCAGTTACAGAAGAGAGTCAGTAAAATAGAGCTTGAAGGTAGCATGCAGGGCACGGAGATGAACAATGCCTGAGGCATGGCAAAATAATACACAAAAAGCCCACAGAGCCAGCCAGAAAAGACATGTGCAGGAAAAGGAGGACAATGAGAGCATGAGTCCTGCCAGATCAAAACTGAAACATATTTATAAATGTCTTTCAGAGGTAAGCCAGAGTTTTAGAATTTATTTTGAAGAGCCAAGAGTATTTGGGGATGGGGCGGGGCAGAGGGAATGGGAGAATACTTAAGAAAGTACATTACTGTATAGAATTTAATTGAGTAATTATTGTTGAATTGGTTGAATGTACCTCTTAACATATTCCTGTGCGTTTTAAAAATATTTTTTTCTCTAATTTAAGGATTAAGATGTAATCTGCCTCAGGTTCTGAGTCGTGAGTGGGTGTTGAGCAGTGGAGCGATTCTACATAGTTAGCGGTTCTTGGGAAATAATTTATTTCTCCCTGAGTAACCCTGCACCAGCCAGATTTCCAGTGGTTACTAAGAAGGCTACAAGGATATTCTTGAATCTCCTCCTTTCAGTTGAGAACAGAACTAATTCCTCACAATTACATCTTCTATTCAAAAATGTCTGATTGTTGGAGTAGGTGCTCAGAGGTGCCAGTGAGGTCAGCAATCCAGAGTGCATATTACCTGGGCTCCAAGTTTCTCTCTCCACCAAGCACAGAGACTCTCCTGCCCCAAGGGAGAATTCAACTGATCATAGAGGAATCAGGGAAGTTTCTTTAGATTCCACTACAGAATTCTACTTCTTAGAATAAGCATGTGTGTTTAAAAGAAAAAATATTTACCTGCTTGTTGTATTTGCTTATTATTTATAGGGTTGGAGGAGTTGCACTAAATGGATTCACAAAAGCAGGGCCATCAAAATAAACACAAAAGATCTAAAGTGAACTGAAGGTGGAGATAACAGAAATACAGGCTAAGAGAGTTACTGCAATTAAATTCTAAAATTAGCTCAACTTCTTGGCATTCAAAACATATCAGGAAACACAATGGGCTATATATTTCCCACAGTCTGATAAAACCAAGCACGCTGGTTCTGACGGAGACAAGACTTCCTCACACTCTAAATTTACAGTTATCTTCTAGACGGCTCTATATTCTCCTGCTTCTCTCCACGGTCATGCCACAAACCCAGCCCAAAGTCCCAGGATCTCTTTTCTGAATTACTTGTACATCTCTAGTCAGCACCTTCTCCAGATCCTGGCACAGCCTCCATACCACAGTAGTGGTCCTTTGAAATGCAAATATGAGATCACATTTGCATTTTAAATTGCATTTTAATTTAAATTATATCTCAATTTTAAATTGAGGTATAATTGACATATAGAATTGTATTAGTTTTAGGTGTATAGCATAATGATTTGATATATACAGTAAAATGATTACCACAATAAGTTTAAGTTGACATCCATCACCACATATAGTTACATTTTTTTTTTCTTGTGCACACATGTCATTGATTCAAGGGCAAAATCCAAAATCCTGTGCACTACCTATAAGACACAGTTTGGCCCCAGCCTTCTTCCTCAGACCAGTGACAAACAGGTCTACCCATACAAATAGTTCTACGCACATGCTTTGCTTAGCAGCCTCCGACTCCACCCCGCCCCCTCTTTAATAGCTAACTCACACTCTGTTACTTTACACCTCGCTAGCCCATAGGTCTCATCCGTCTGACGCTGAAGGCATGTGATTTTGTGTTGATGCTTTTTTTTTTTTTGGACTAGATCTCAGCACAGACCAAAGTGCTTCTTCAAGGAATGAAACACTGCAGCAAAATGGCCTGAGCCTATTAGGCTTTCTCAACGATTAAGTTCTTTTTCATAAGTTATCAGGAGCTTCAAATAGCTAATTAAGCAGATTAAGAGGTTTAGAGCCATCCCCATAGCCCCATGACCAAGTATGAAGGCAAATGTCAGAATGAATTCTACGACACATTTAAACATTTATGTGTAAGCCCATACAGAAACAGTCCTATAATATGTTTATAAGCTCAATGATGTCCATCTCTCAGCCCTTTCAAGTTCACATCCAGTGTGAAAGATTCACTTCAGGAACTGTGACAGCGTTCCAGTCCCAGGATGCTGCTAAGATCATAGTTGGATTTAGGCAAGGAGTTCTCTAAATCAGTGACTGAACACAGGGCTGGGTGAGAATTAAGTCTTGGGCTCCATTCTGCATAAGAATGCAGAATTCTGCTCACTTGGTTTTAGGCCTGGGACACTTCTTTACCAAGAGGTAAAGAGCCCACACAGCTTGTGCTGGGCTTACCACCTCTCTTTGCTCCATCAAACACACTTTTATCTCCAGCCTCGTTTCTCTTACCTTATAATATTTTCATGCCTTTTTTTTTTACCCGATTAACTCCCTTAAGCTTTCCCCTGTTTCTTCAACTTGTCTCTCTCTACTTTCTTACCTTCTATATGCATCTTCAGTCATGCACAAACTGATGTCTACTTCTTTTGCTTCCCTTGAAAAGGCTTTTGCCCAAGTCACTAAGAATCAAATTACTATTTTTTCAATCTGAGGCATTTACAGAGTTAGTATATTAATTAAGGTAGGTGGGATAGGCTGTGGAGACCAACTCCTAAATCTTAATGGCATTACCCAATAAGTGTTTATTTTTGCTTATGTCATGATCTGCTTATGTAAATACTCATCTTTGTGTGCCTTCTCTGTGGTGATTCAGGGACATAGGCTGCTTTCATCTTGTGGTTCCATCATGCCCTAGGGACGTCTTCATCCCCTGGACCTCTGCATCTGGGAGCTGAAGAACAAAGAGTGGAGGACTGTGTGAATCCTTAGGGGACAGAATGGGAGGAGAACTATATCGCTTCTCCTCTTATTCCGACCATACACAGTCTGAAAGGCAGACTGGGAAATGCACTGGAGCTGTCTGTCCAGTTGGAAAAAGAAACTGCTGGGCATAACCAGCAGTTATTCTTAACCAACATCTGTCATTCCTCCTTTTTGAAACTTTCTCTCCCTTGACTTCCAAGGCTCCATTCTCTCTTCTGGTTTCAGTTTTCAAATCTTCACTGCTCATTTTCAGTCTCCTTCAAGACTCTTCTTTCTTTTATCCATCCCCTTAACATTGATATTCCCCAGCCTTTGTCTCTTGGCTTATTTTTCTTCTCACTATACCATTCCCCCTGGATGTTCTCACAAACAACCAGAACATCTATCTCCATCATTCTGTTCACACGTCCATGTAAAACCTGCTCTTCATCTTATAAGTCCCCATCCTGATGAAGTAGGTCTACTCAGTCATTAAACCAGAAAACTAGAAGCGATCCTACATTCTCCCCTTTTCCTCTATAACCAAGGTTTCTCAACCACCACACTATTGACATTTCAGGCTGGGTAATCCTTTGTTGTTGTCCTGTGAATTGTAGGATGTTTAGCAGCATCCCTGGCTTCCTGCTAGTAGGTGCCAGTGTCTAACTGCCCCATCCTCTCATCAAGTTACGGCAGCCAACAGTATGCCCAGACATTGCCAAATGTCTCTTGAGTAGGAAGGGATCACCTCCAGTTGAGAACTGCATCATCCGTTCCTATAGATTGAACCTTTGTAATATTTATCCTCTCCATTTTGTTTTCTTGCCATTAATTCTATAAATTCCACATCATTTTGTGTCTGGATTTCTCCAGTTCTCTCCTATCTATGGCAAGTTGGGTGAACCAACAGTTCCTCTTGACTCGAGTCTGCATTGTCATAGAACAGGATACTGATTTCTTAGCCTCCTTTGCATGGCCAGGTGACACCATTTAGCATGGCAAATAGGTCTGTGAAGAGACTGGAGTTGAATTTAAAGGTTCTAAGGCTTTGGGGTGCCTGGGTGGCTCAGTTGGTTGAGCGTCCAGCTTCGGCTCAGGGCATGATCTCACAGTTTGTGGGTTCGAGCCCGCATCAGGCTCTGTGCTGACTGCTTGCTCAGAGCCTGGAGCCTGCTTCAGATTCTGTGTCTCCTTCTCTCTGTGCCCCTCCCCCACTCATGCTTTGTCTCACTCTGTTTCTCAAAAATAAATAAATGTAAAAAAAAAAAAAATTAAAGGTTCTAAGGCTTTGGAATCATCCGGCTTAGATAGTATCTTAACCTTATCACTCTGGTGGTGGTGTTGTTTTAGGAAAGTTACTTACATTTTCTGTGCCCCGTCAGTAATACTGGGATAAAAACAGTACCAAGCTTATAGAATTATTATGAAGTTTACAAGTTAATATGGACAAACTGTTTAGTGTATAATTGGCCAAATGTAAACACTGAATAAATGGTGGCTATGATTTAGGACTGGCAGGGATGATATAATTTCTCTTTTCCTTGCTAATCTCAAAGGTTACTACTTCAGAGCCCATCCCTAACTTTTAAGACTCAGTTTACAGGAATCTTACTCTGGAGATTTTCTCTCACTTTTCCTTCTAAATTACAATCCCTTTCTCAGATATTACTTGTTTTTCTCCCTCACTAAGCTGTGAACCCGTACAAAGCAAGGACCAGACTTTTCTCTATATATTCCCAGGACCACCAAAAGTGCTCCATAAATATGAAATGTTCAGGAAAAGTTTGTTGACTAAATCAGTAAGTGAACAAATATTAGTAACATACACCAACCTTGCAAATAACTTTCCTTCCGTTTGGCAGCAGGTAGGGAGGGTGGATTTCTAGAAAGCTTTGGACATCCTTAGAGTAAATGAAACACAAATCAACCAGGTGAATTTTTAAAAGGAAATTTATCTTACTAGCCTGGCAACTCTGTCTAGCTTTTAAGTAAATTGAAACTAGGAACCATATTATTATTGTTAGGATACAGAGGAAAACTATACATGTAACTCCAAACCTTTCACAATCCTTTAAAAATCTTATTTTAAATAAATTCACCTGAATTTGCACAGGAGTGTAGCAATGGGAATTGTTAATCGACAGAGAAGTCACCGTTTTAAAAGTCCATTGATACAATTTCTAAAATGAGGAGCTTTAAATTGCCTTGTGGTTAAAGGAACTTTTAACTACACACACACACACACACACACACACACACACACACACACACACACA